GCGGGACCCCCCAGCGGAGCCCTTCCCAAGAAGAAAAAACATCACCCAGTTTAACACAGAATGTCCTGTTTTGGAGATACGATCTAAACCAATCCAGAGCTGACCCTTTGATCCCAACCCATCGTTCCAAGCGATCGAGTAGAATCGCGTGGTCAACTGTGTCGAAGGCTGCTGTCAGGTCTAACAACAGAAGCAGCACAGATGTTCCCTGATCTAGTGATAGATAGATGTCAAGTAGGACCCTCAGTAGAGCACATTCTTTATTATGTCAGAGGCAGACTGCTTGTTTCTTTATGTCAGAAAGATACTGCTTGTTTCTTTATGATGTCAGAAGCAGACTGCTTGTTTCTTTGTGATGTCAGGAGACTGCTTGTTTCTTTATGATGTCAGAAAGATACTGCTTGTTTCTTTATGATGTCAGAGGCAGACTGCTTGTTTCTTTATGATGTCAGGAGACTGCTTGTTTCTTTATGATGTCAGAAAGATACTGCTTGTTTCTATATTATGTCAGAGGCAGACTGCTTGTTTCTTTATGATGTCAGGAGACTGCTTGTTTCTTTATGATGTCAGAAAGATACTGCTTGTTTCTTTATGATGTCAGAGGCAGACTGCTTGTTTCTTTATGATGTCAGAAAGATACTGCTTGTTTCTTTATGATGTCAGAGGCAGACTGCTTGTTTCTTTATGTCAGGAGACTGCTTGTTTCTTTATGATGTCAGAAGGAGACTGCTTGTTCATTTATGATGTCAGAAAGATACTGCTTGTTTCTTTATGATGTCAGAGGCAGACTGCTTGTTTCTTTATGTCAGGAGACTGCTTGTTTCTTTATGATGTCAGAAGGAGACTGCTTGTTCATTTATGATGTCACAAAGATACTGCTTGTTTCTACATGATATCAGAAGGAGACTGCTTGTTTCTACATGCTATCAGAAGGAGACTGCTTGTTTCTTTATGTCAGGAGACTGCTTGTTTCTTTATGATGTCAGAAGGAGACTGCTTGTTCATTTATGATGTCAGAAAGATACTGCTTGTTTCTACATGATATCAGAAGGAAACTGCTTGTTTCTTTATGATGTCATTAAGAAACTGCTTGTTTCTTTATGATGTCAGAGGCAGACTGCTTGTTTCTTTACGGTGTCAGGAGACTGCTTGTTTCCTTATGATGTCAGAAGGAGACTGCTTGTTTCAATAAATGAACATTTAAACGTTTTAATGAAGAATTTAACGTTTTATTGAATATTTAAAAATTTTAATGAACTTTTTAACATTTTTAAAAATGAACATTTAAACATTTTAATAAAGATTTTAACGTTTTAATGAACATTTTAATGTTTTAATGAAGATTTTAACGTTTTTATGAAAATTTAAACGTTTTAATGATGATTTTAATGTTTTTAAAAAACAAACATTTAAACGTTTTAATGAAGATTTATATTCAACAAGCATATATATATTCTGATATATATCAGACATATATATCTTGTTTCTACATGATATCAGGAGGAGACTGCTTGTTTCTTTATGATGTCAGAAAGATACTGCTTGTTTCTTTATGATATCAGAGGCAGACTGCTTGTTTCTTTATGATGTCAGAAGGAGACTGCTTGTTTCAATAAATGAACATTTTAACGTTTTAATGAACCTTTAAACGTTTTTAAAAATGAACATTTAAACGTTTTAATGAAGAATTTAACATTTTATTGAATATTTAAACATTTAATGAACATTTTAACGTTTTTGAAAATGAAAATTTAAACATTTTAATGAAGATTTTAACATTTTAATGAACATTTTAACGTTTTAATCAAGATTTTCACGTTTTAATGAACATTTAAACGTTTTAATGACTATTTTAACATTTTGATGAACATTTTAACGTTTTTAAAAATGAACATTTTAACGTTTTAATGAAGATTTTAACGTTTTAATGAACATTTAAATGTTTAAATGAACATTTTAACGTTTTCATGAACATTTAAACGTTTTAATGAACATTTTAACGTTTTTAAAAATGAAGGTTTTAACGTTTTTATGAAAATTTTAATATTTTAATGAACATTTTAACGTTTTAAAAATGAACATTTTAACGTTTTAATGAACATTTAAACATTTTAATGAACATTTTAACGTTTTAAAAATGAAGATTTAAACGTTTTAATGAAGATTGTAACATTTTTAAAAATGAACATTTAAACGTTTTAATGAAGAATTTATTGTTTTAATGAACATTTTAACGTTTTAATGAAGATTTGAACGTTTTAATGAAAATTTAAACGTTTTAATGATGATTTTAATGTTTTTTAAAAACGAACATTTAAACGTTTTAATGAAGATTTATATTCAACAAGCATATATATATTCTGATATATATCAGACATTTATATCTTGTTTCTACATGATATCAGGAGGGGACTGCTTGTTTCTTTATGATGTCAGAAAGATACTGCTTGTTTCCTTATGATGTCAGAGGCAGACTGCTTGTTTCTTTATGTCAGGAGACTGCTTGTTTCTTTATGATGTCAGAAGGAGACTGCTTGTTCATTTATGATGTCAGAAAGATACTGCTTGTTTCTTTATGATGTCAGAGGCAGACTGCTTGTTTCTTTATGTCAGGAGACTGCTTGTTTCTCTATGATGTCAGAAGGAGACTGCTTGTTCATTTATGATGTCAGAAAGATACTGCTTGTTTCTACATGATATCAGAAGGAGACTGCTTGTTTCTACATGCTATCAGAAGGAAACTGCTTGTTTCTTTATGATGTCAGAAAGATACTGCTTGTTTCTTTATGATGTCAGAGGCAGACTGCTTGTTTCTTTATGATGTCAGGAGACTGATTTTTTCTTTATGATGTCAGAAGGAGACTGCTTGTTCATTTATGATGTCAGAAAGATACTGCTTGTTTCTTTATGATGTCAGAGGCAGACTGCTTGTTTCTTTATGTCAGGAGACTGCTTGTTTCTCTATGATGTCAGAAGGAGACTGCTTGTTCATTTATGATGTCAGAAAGATACTGCTTGTTTCTACATGATATCAGAAGGAGACTGCTTGTTTCTACATGCTATCAGAAGGAAACTGCTTGTTTCTTTATGATGTCAGAAAGATACTGCTTGTTTCTTTATGATGTCAGAGGCAGACTGCTTGTTTCTTTATGATGTCAGGAGACTGATTTTTTCTTTATGATGTCAGAAGGAGACTGCTTGATTCAATAAATGAACATTTTAACGTTTTGATGAACCTTTAAACGTTTTTAAAAATGAACATTTAAACGTTTAATGAAGAATTTAACGTTTTATTGAATATTTAAACATTTAATGAACATTTTAACGTTTTTAAAAATGAAAATTTAAACATTTTAATGAAGATTTTAACATTTTAATGAACATTTTAATGTTTTAATGAAGATTTTAACGTTTTTATGAAAATTTAAACGTTTTAATTATGATTTTAATGTTTTTAAAAAATGAACATTTAAACGTTTTAATGAAGATTTATATTCAACAAGCATATATATATATATATATTCTGATATATATGAGACATATATATCTTGTTTCTACATGATATCAGGAGGAGACTGCTTGTTTCTTTATGATGTCAGAAAGATATTGCTTGTTTCTTTATGATGTCAGAGGCAGACTGCTTGTTTCTTTATGATGTCAGGAGACTGCTTGTTTCTTTATGATGTCAGAAGGAGACTGCTTGTTTCAATAAATGAACATTTTAACGTTTTAATGAACCTTTAAACGTTTTTAAAAATGAACATTTAAACGTTTTAAGGAAGAATTTAACATTTTATTGAATATTTAAACATTTAATGAACATTTTAACGTTTTTAAAAATTAAAATTTAAACGTTTTAATGAAGAATTTAACATTTTAATGAACATTTTAACGTTTTAATGATGATTTTAATGTTTTTAAAAAACAAACATTTAAACGTTTTAATGAAGATTTATATTCAACAAGCATATATATATTCTGATATATATCAGACATATATATCTTGTTTCTACATGATATCAGGAGGAGACTGCTTGTTTCTTTATGATGTCAGAAAGATACTGCTTGTTTCTTTATGATATCAGAGGCAGACTGCTTGTTTCTTTATGATGTCAGAAGGAGACTGCTTGTTTCAATAAATGAACATTTTAACGTTTTAATGAACCTTTAAACGTTTTTAAAAATGAACATTTAAACGTTTTAATGAAGAATTTAACATTTTATTGAATATTTAAACATTTAATGAACATTTTACCGTTTTTAAAAATGAAAATTTAAACATTTTAATGAACATTTTAACATTTTAATGAACATTTTAACGTTTTAATCAAGATTTTCACGTTTTAATGAACATTTAAACGTTTTAATGACTATTTTAACATTTTGATGAACATTTTAACGTTTTTAAAAATGAACATTTTAACGTTTTAATGAAGATTTTAACGTTTTAATGAACATTTAAATGTTTAAATGAACATTTTAACGTTTTCATGAACATTTAAACGTTTTAATGAACATTTTAACGTTTTTAAAAATGAAGGTTTTAACGTTTTTATGAAGATTTTAATATTTTAATGAACATTTCAACGTTTTAAAAATGAACATTTTAACGTTTTAATGAACATTTAAACGTTTTAATGAACATTTTAACGTTTTAAAAATGAAGATTTAAACGTTTTAATGAAGATTGTAACATTTTTAAAAATGAACATTTAAACGTTTTAATGAAGAATTTATTGTTTTAATGAACATTTTAACGTTTTAATGAACGTTTTAATGTTTTAATGAAGATTTGAACGTTTTAATGAAAATTTAAACGTTTTAATGATGATTTTAATGTTTTTTAAAAACGAACATTTAAACTTTTTAATGAAGATTTATATTCAACAAGCATATATATATTCTGATATATATCAGACATATATATCTTGTTTCTACATGATATCAGGAGGGGACTGCTTATTTCTTTATGATGTCAGAAAGATACACTGTTAGACGCGGCTGTAATTTCTACAGTAATTTACCACATATCTTACAGTACTAAACTGTAAAACAATTTCTACAGTTAGTAACTGTAATTTGCTTTGCACCATGGGAGTTTGAAGTCACGTGGTAATTAGTTTACAGTTTGCTACTGTAGTTTATGAAAATACAGTAAGGTACTATAAACTGAAAGTTACTTCAATATTTTTACTGTAATTTATCAATACGAAGCTGTAAAGTTATTTACGTCACCTGACAAGGAACGATTGCATCAGCCGAGTTACCAGATTTACAATTTAGTACTGTAAAATTACAGTTATTATAAAATTACAGTAAGTAGCTGTTATTAACGGTCATTTTTGCATTTAATAATTTAGTTTGTTAAATCCTTCAAGACGGAGAACCGCCATTTTGTCGTAAAGAGCAGTCATTGTAACCACAGTTCACCGGCACACGAGCAAGTGTGGGACATACACGGGAAAGACTACACCTGCAGCGCTTATAATTTCTCCAGCGAAAAGACCAAGTTCCACCAAGTACCGACTATCCAAGGTAAACTTTTCATTTAAGCATTTCAATGTGCTATCTTTTTAGTGGAGTTTTGCTGCGAGTCTGTGTGTTAGCTTTTATTATTTCAGAGCTTTATTTCAAAGAGAACGGGACTTTGCGGATTTTTCTCATCGCTTTTTTTCTTAGTTTTTTCTTCACACGAAAGTAAAAGCTGACATTGTCTAAAACAATTTGGGGTCTTAACGTTTGACTCTGTGTAGCGTAGAAACAATTCGAAAAAATAAAGAAATAACTCGGATGAGCTTGGGCACAACGCCACACTAACCGGAGTTTTTTTTTTCCTTCACATAACCGAAGTCTTATCTATATTTTTAGTAATTGTTTGAGGACTTCATCTATGTTTAGGTGTAAAGTTTGTAGCCATGGCAGTGAAAGTTACAAAAGCTTTTTTGTTCATGCAAAAAGTCACAGAAATCTGGCTAACCACCGGTTTTCATGTGGCATAGAAACATGTTCTGCCGTTTTTAGAACATTTTCTGCATTAAAGTCACACACACACAGGAATCATACACCTACAGAGTCACAAAAAATCCAGAATTATCAGCCAGGTGGCATTCATGAATGTAGTGTTCAAGGATGTGATTTTGCAGCAGATAATATTTCCTTGCTGTGCATTCATTTAAGAGTACACATACGTAATGGCAAAAAAATCACTTGTCCATTTGAGGGTTGCTCAAAATATTTCAGAGTGAGGTCATCTTTTGCCACACACATCTCAAGAAAACACAGGCAACAATTTGTTCCAAAGCCAGAAGAACCAAAGAATGCAGATGTACAAACCTACGATGTTACAGGTGAACACACCCAGGTCCATCATGATGATATTTTGTCTCCTCTTGAAAGTCATGAAAACAACTCAGAGTCTAACCCTGACACATTTCTAAAGAACTTAGCACTATTTTACTTAAAACTACAAGCCAAACTTCTTTTACCAGCAACAACAGTACAGTGCATAGTTCAGGAATTTCAACAAATCCACTCCACCGGAATGAGCCACGTAATTAAAAAAGTGGAGGAGAAGCTGGAACAGAATAACTTAAACGAAACTGAAATACAGAATATTGTTAAAGAACTTGAACAAGAGGATCTATTGACAATTTACAATGATGGTATCTTGAGATCAGACAGAACTAGGAAAACATTTTTCAAAGAAAAGTTTGACTATGTTGCTCCAACCCAGTTATACTTGGGAACAGATTCTGGTGGAAAAGAACGTTTTTGCCAGTATGTACCAGTAAAAGAGACACTTGCTGCCTTGTTTAGGCAATCAACAGTAAAGGAGCAGTTTGCTCAATCTAACCAATTTGTACATGATGAAATGGTTTTAAATGATGTAAGTGATGGCCAAAACTTCAAACAAAATAGCATTTTACAAGGATTGTCACCATCTGTTTCAGTCATTCTGTACATGGATGCATTTGAAGTGACTAATCCCTTAGGTTCTGGCAAAAAAAAAAACACAAAATCATGGCCATGTACATGACACTAGGAGAAATACTACCACATAATCGATCCACCGTTGACCCTGCACAGCTCGTCTTACTTTGCAGAGAACAGGATTTTAAGGCTTTTGGACAAGAAAAAATATTTTCCCACCTCATAACAGACCTAAAAGACTTGGAGCTTTCAGGTTTTCAGGTGGAAGATGGAGCCAACGTCAAGGCGTCATTGATTGCCATATGTGGTGATAATCTTGGTTCCCACTCTATTGGTGGATTCACTGAAAATTTTAGCAGTAGCACACACTTTTGTAGGTACTGCATGATTGACAGAGAAACATTTGTAAAATCACCACTTCTGTTTGGCCCACAAAGAACACCTGCAAACTACAATGATAGTGTTCGACAACTGAATTATGACAAACAAATAGTTAATGGAATCAAATTTGATTCCAGTTTCAACTCGCTAGCAACATTTCATGTCTGCTTGGGTCTTCCTCCATGTCTTGGGCATGACCTTTTTGAGGGAATAGTGGCAGATGATTTAGCTCTTTATATTAAGCATCTGATAAACTTTGAAAAACATTTCACTTATGACCAGATAAATCAGGCAATCGCACAGACAAAACTTTTTGGCAGTGACTCGCACAACAAACCATGTGAGATTAAGGAAAATGCTAAAAGGCTTAGTGGTTCAGCAGCACAGAACTGGTGTTTCTTACGGCTGTTACCAGTTTATGTGGGTAAGTCGATAAAAAATCCCCTTGGAAGTGAGGTTTGGCAATTGTGTCTAAAACTAAGGAGAATAGTTGAGTTTATCTGTGCTCCAAAAGTTCATCAGAACGAGATTGCATATCTAAAAGTTTTGCTAGAAGAATATATCTACTTACGTAGCACCATGTTTCCTGATCAGTCTCTCAAACCAAAGCATCATTATGTGTTGCATTATCCAAGTCTCATTCTCAAGTTTGGACCCTTGATACGGTTGTGGACACTGAGGTTTGAGAGTAAACACTCCTACTTCAAAGAGTGTGCCAGAAAAATGCACAACTTTTTACACTTAAGTAAAACACTAGCAGAGAGACATCAGCTCCTACAGTCTTATTTAGGTTGTGGTCAGTTATTCCCACCTCTCATTCAGATTGCCGGTGAGGCAAACGGCATTGATGAACACTCATACAACAAAGACATACAGATGATTTTAAAGGAAGCTGATATTGATAAAGGAAAAACCTCTGAAGTTTCAGCTGTGTTTTATAAAGGAACCAAATATACCAAAGGTCTTGTTGTTCCTCTTGATCACACAGGTGACACTCTAGTCTTTGGAAAAATATCCTTGATACTGACTGATGATAAACAGGTCCACTTTGTTGTTTTGGTACATCACCCAGTGCTATTAATAGATCTTGGAGTTTATCATTTATATAACCCAGACCATAAATATGCATATGTTAATGCAGATAGGCTACAAGACTTTTATCCAATGCCAGTTTATCATATCTTGAACCTCCCTGTTGTTTCCTTGCATCACTCAGTGTGTTCTTTTCCCTAGATATGGAGGTCGAGTGCATTGATGAAATTCAGGGAGTGCTGCCTGAATTGGACCATGAAAGACTACTGGCCATTACTGAACACCTCTCATCTGTGGTTGGAGTCACAAAGAAAGAGGATCTTGCCTTTCTTGAGAAGGCTGACTTTCAGGAATATTTGACACCAATCCAGTGCCGTAAATTACTTCAGGCCTTCAAACAAAGAGGTAAAAAAAAACATGTTCACCAAATCTTAACACAACATGTTCATTTATTCTAAGATTAGTAGTCTCTATCATTTTAAACTACTGTCCTTGGTTACTCTACAATGATGATAGTTTTATAAGTTGTATGAGCACTCTGAAATTGTTCGTGAAATCCTCCCTGTAACAATGCCATAAACACAGTGACAGTATTTAAGTTATGTAAGGTTGTATGTAAAGTGTTAATACTGTAAATAATTTAGATGTGCAAAAAAAAAACTTTTATTATGTTTATTATCTTCAAAGAACTGAAAGACAAAGTGGACACTGAAGTCAGCTCTGTGCCAAGTGGAAACGTGATTCCTACCTCATCTTTGGATACACAGAGAGAAAATGGACAGTCATGTTTCACACCTCTTCAGACACAATCATATAATCCTGGATCCACTCTTTTAAAAACACAAAATTCTTGGATCAGCCAGTTCCAAATTCCGTGGGAAAAGATGCCTGCTTCACTGTCCCAGACAATGTTAAGAGGCCAAAGGGCCAGCCCAGCAGACAGGAGAGCAATGGTGCGGACTGTAGTGTCCACTATGCAGCAGCATTGTTCAAACCCCAACAGAGCTGCCTGCACTGAAATAGCAAAAACTATTGTTGCCAAATATCCTTTGACTTTTGCAGACATGAATGAAGAAGGTGAACAGATTGGAATAGGGTACTATTCTCTCATTAACCAGCTGAAGACAAGAGTTGAACATGTCAACCGGAACAATACGAGTGACAGAATACGAAGACCAAGGACAACACAGTCCAGCAATGCTGACGCTACAATCAAAACGTCTCGATGCAAACTGGACAGCTATGGCTGCGTGAACTGGCAACCAAGATGTCTCCCGGATGGAGAGACGGCAGATTCTTTGGAGGAGAGAAGAAAACAAATGGCTGCCACATTTCAGTCTGTTGGCCCTAGAGCTGCTGACTCACCAGATATAGACTTTTCAATGGATTTGACTTACATCTATCAACGCCACATGATTAATGCTTGCCCTCCTCCAAGTGTCTGTGAGATTGAAGAGCAATGGCCATTTCTCTTTACAAAAAGAGGACTCTGCAACCACTTCAAAATCCTCACAGGGATTGACATTTGTGATCGCCTTGGAGAGGCTCTTCAGACCAAGGGGAAGAAAATCGTGCATTTTTTCCGGAGCCACAGTCACAATAAAGATACTCGGCACATTCTTCAGGATTTGGACAGAAACACAACAATGCAGCGAAGCTGTCATGGTATAGCAGCGATGCTACTTCTGATGAAATGCTTTGGCGAAAAGGAGGAGTCCATCTTCATTTTGGTTGATGTAAGTTGGCAAATAGTCAAAGGAACAATGTGACGCATGTTTGCTGTGTGTAATTATCATGTTTTATGTTTAACATGTTAGACAACTTCAACAAAGGCGTCCATCGAGAGGGAGAGGGCATTACCTCCATCACCGAGACTGCTAATGCTTGGTAAGGGAAGATATAAAAATTAGAGGTCGAACAATATTGGTTTTTCTATTGCCAATACCAATGCCAACATGTAGGAGACACGGTCAACCGATGGCCAATTTGTACTGCCAATTTTTTTGGACCAATTTTCATGGCCGATATCCAGACATGTTCCACTTTATTTTCATGCTAAAATGTCACTAATAACAGCAGTTGATGCCCAGATATTCTGAAGCTGAATCAGTTTTTGAACTCTGAATGTAAAGGTTGAATATGTAACATTTTAATAAAAAGTTATATTTAAAAAAAATTTATATATATAGATACCACGGGGTGTTTAGAGGTTTGCAGAATGAATGTACAGTTTCTTTCCTTTGGAAGCTATATTTAAAAAAATAATAACCAAAATTTTATTTTGATGGGCACGACACATCTACCAGCTGCTAGAGGGCTCCGTTGCTGTAAAATATTTTGTTTTAAAATGTTCGTTCGGCACAGCGAGGCTATGTTAAATGGTGAACTCGACAAGTCAAGCAGCTGATTCTTAGCCCAGAATCAGCTAGAAAATTTGTTCTATTGTTGCGATACCACTTGTAAACACTAGATGTTCCATATTCAACCTTTCAATAACTGTTAAATCACAACTTTGTGCACTGCTTAAGCCTGGTTTATGCTTCTCCGTCAGCTCCGCAAGGGACAGACACGCACGGATTGACGGAAGCGTTTTGCTCTCATACTTCTCCGTCTCCTGGAGAGTGTTGCAAAGCAATTCTCCGCCAGGACAACAGAGGGCGTAGCGCTGTTCTGTGGTATCCTGTCATGTATCGGTCCAAGATAGTGTGTTTATATTGTGTTTTTTCTGTATATAAGAGACTTTTAACACGGACATATTTGTCTCTCATTCTCCCACCTCTTCATGCGCTCCCCACCTCTAAACCCACGCTTCCTGTCATTTCCGTCCACAAATAAAACGCTGGCTGCGCATCTTTTCACTCCTCCAGTCACGGGAGAATTAAACGTTCATGTTTTTAGAGTTTTTTCGCGAGGTATTCTTCAAGCTTCTCCGTGTCTGCCACTAGTTATCCTCGGCTCTCTTTGCAATGGCAGCGCTGTAAACAACAGCGGCGTCCTGACCAATCACAAGCTTGCGTAATCCGTTTCGTTCGACGGATGTTTAAAAAAGTGGGCTCGACTCCGTACGTACTTGCGTGCCTGCCGGATCCCTGCGCAAGGACGGATAATGGCGTTGCGTGTCTCCGCACTGATGCAGATGGAGAAGCATAAATCAGGCTTTAGTGTTAAAGTCCAGCCAGACAGGAAGGAGCTGGCAGTGTTAAAAAAATTGTAATGTTTCATGATATTTAAATTCTTTTCAAACTATGATTATGGTTAGTGGAAGTGCACAAATATAGGCTATATATATCTAAATCTCACATACTTTACATCATTTTAACATATAAAAACAACAATAAATTCTGCAGGTCAGGCATCTTATTTTGCATTTAGCGAAACACTGTTGTTGCAAAGATTGGTATGTTCGATTTTGAAGTGTATATGTTTTGTCTCATAGGAACCACATACCTTGAGGCAACCAAGTGGATGGTGAGCATCGAGGGAAAGGTGGCCTACATTTTAGATGAGGACCTGGGTTTTGCAGATGCACTTTCTGTGTTGATGGCAAGCTTCTATGCTTTCAATGTGGAATACCAGGAGCCTGCATGTGCAACACTGGAGTTCATTCAACGGTAGGAATCTTTTTATTTTTTATTTTAAAGGCACTGAGAAATCACAAAAACCAGTAATATATCATACATGCATATTGAGTGTGTGTGTGTGTGTGTGTGTGTGTGTGTGTGGGGGGGGGGGGGGGTCTTCAGTCAGGTCTAAGTCGCTCTTTCTAAGAATAAATTTTCAGAGAAAGGAGGTGAATTAATCTTGTTCATAAACTATCTTTGTTGTAGCTTGTTACATCATCATTTGGATCACAGTCATGGAGACAGCATGCCCAAAAACTGTCAGGATGCTGCAGAACGCTGCTCACAGCACGTATAGCTGTTGTTTCAAGGTTGCAACTTAATGTTTGTCAAATCAAGCAAAATCACCACTGACCATGCTGAAAAAAACAGCATAAACCAGCATTGCTGGTTACCAGTATATGTTGCATGGTATGCTTGTCATGGAATGATAGACCAGCATCCCATCCTGGACCAGCATGCTAGACTAGCATTCAATGCTGGTTCACCAGCTAAACAAGCACCAAAACAACATATGCTGGGAACATCTATGCTGGTCTGATTTTAGTTCTCAGATTTTTTACATCTTCTGAGTTCGCAGGGATGTAATATATTGTAATCCTTTAGCAAATTAACAGAAATAGTGGAATCATACCCCGATTTTGTTAAATCACTCTTCCAGACTGCATTTATCTTAACTAAAATTGCACTTAATATTTTTGTTGTTGTTTTTCTTTCTCATCTTTATGCAGATTCTTCTTGAGAATCAATCCTGAAGATGGGAGCAAATGCACAGCACGGACTGGAGTTAGTCGCAAGACCGGACAGTTGGTCAAAAGAAAATCAGCCACCATGAACCCCAGAGTGCTGTCCTTCCTTCGCCAGCTAACAGAGTTTGAGTGGAAGAACATGGAATAGGTGAGATACGTATTTTTAGGGTATGCTGATATACATAAACAGTGTTCGGCAAGTTACTTCAAAACTGTAATGCATTATTTATTATTGTTACCCTCATTTTAAAGTAATTCATTACATTACAATATCACTGATTTTAAAATGTAAGGCATTACACTACTTTTGCATTACTTTGAACCGTTTCAGTTCGGTCCACTAGCGTATCGTTTTGGTCAATTTTTTCTGCTAAAATATTTTGTTTTTATTTGCGTTATTTGCAGCGGATAAAAGTTCCTCAGTGAGTTTCTGCACAGACGCTGGATTGAGTGATGCATCAGGGTTTCCGCTATGTGTATTTTGTCTTGGCGCGCCGCCATGCCGTCAGAAGGATAAAAAAGAAATTAAAACAATGTACCATCAGAATACATTTTTTGGATATACATTAAAACAATGTAAATACGAGACATATACAGTCTATATTTGTGCATGTATACTAACTATAATCAGCTGTAAATCATTATCAATTTGTTCAATCAATTTCCCTCTGGGATTAATCAATTTCCCTCTGGGATTAATAAAGTATTTTTGAATTGAATTGAATCATCACTAATATAACAAATAAAGGCTGAAATATTTGGAATAAGTCTGTCTCATATATTAGTTTCCCCTTTAAATTGAAGAGTTTACACCAAATTCAAGTTTCTTTTCAAGTTTCACCTGTACATTCCTTGTCCTTTTTAGGACCACTGGGGCATCAGACGAGGGGACAACATTCTGGCCAGGTTCTTCACCCATCAGAATCAGTAAAAAAAACAAGCATTATTTCATTCTGTTCTTGAAAACTACAGTTTTGCAGGTTTTGTATGTTTCCTGATGCAGCATATGCTCATAGATTGCACGATCCATTGCACTGTTATTACTTAGTTTATTAATTCATTTATTAATTTGTTATTGTAATATTTTTCAATGCAGATTTCTAACAGCAAATGTTGCACTGTTACATTGTAAACAAATGTTTTTGTATTGTGAAAAGCAATGTATTCTACTCTTTCAATTGCTGATCCATTGAAATTTTTTCTGTTAAATCAGTGAGGAAAAACATTTTGTAAACAGCCCAATTGCTCCCCTGCTCTGGTAGGATTTTGTTTGCTTTAGCTTACCATAAACAATGTAAGTGAATGTTAATGGCTAGCATTTAGCGTAATAAATATTAACAGCAAATTAAAATAATAACACAAAGCAGGGACGAAATTTTGATTTCAGAAGTGGGGGGGACACAGCAGGCTTGTGCGGATTTGGGGTGGGGGGTGTTATGTAAAGACCCCTTGACACGTCACGTGCCCATCTCAATAATTTTTCCATCCTCTATATATATATGTATATATATATCAAAGTTAAAAAATGTACAACTCTATTATTATTTTTATTTATTATCATTATTGAAGTGCAGTTTTGGCTGTTGACAATGGATAGGCCATTGTATTTATTGTTTTGTGTCTTTTTTATTGTTTTTGGTGCAACATTTTCTAACAGGGAGTGAGATTCCTTTTTTATTCAATTTTTGTTTGTTATTTTTATTCATTTAGAAGTTCTGGTTCTGGACATTTCAATGTTAAATTAAGGTTTATTTGTTGCATTTTAAAGGGTGTACTTGCATTATTATGATATATTAACATTATATTAGTGGTTATTTTGGTCTAGATAATGTTGACAATATCGTTTATCATCAACAATTTGTTGGACAAAATATCGTCCAGCAAAATTTGTTACATTCCCAGGCCTAGTCAAAAGTATAAAAATTATTTATACATAAACGGTCCCTCCTGAGATCTGGCCGTTTGTTCATTTGCTATGTTAGAGGACATGCTGAACTAATGTTTTACACATGATCATCACCCTAACATTTGAGTGTATAAAAACATATTAAATATGTTTTTTCCCTTAAAAGTGTTTAAACAGTTGTTGCATTTCAACACACAAAAAATAAATGGAAAAAATAAGATAAATCTAATGAAAAGTGTACATCTTTGACATTAAGCTTAAAAAAATCTGTTGACGATGATGATACTGTTCATTTTTCAGAGCTTTTTAATGTGAAAATATACATTGCAATAGATAAGTTTACAATAAAGTTAAATGATAAAAGTTTTGAAGTTACACTTCTACTACTACTAGTAATAATAATTATGATGATAATAGTAATAATAAAAAAATAATTATTATAATAATACGAACAAATTGTGTCTGAGGAGTCAGTTATGTGGAGGAGATGAGTTTGTAAAAGTTAGTTTTGAGTTTGTGTGTGAAGGAGGAGGTGAGTCTGAGCTTAATGCAGGGGTGTCACATGTTCCAACTTACGTTTTGACTTTGAAAGAAGTCTCTTATATCCACTTTTCGTTTTCTTGACATGCTGCCTCCTGGCTGTGCCTAACTACCAAAGACTCACAAATGAACACTTATTCAAATGTTATGTAATGGAAGCTGAGCTGAGCTCTGATATTACACAGCGTCTAGTTGACGATGTGACTCAGTACCGGTGTTCCCTAGCGGCTCCAAACTAGCAAAACAACGTGAGCACGTTCTGACTGTTTACAACTTGAGTGACAGCAGCAACAGCCAATAATACATTAGCAAGTATCAGCAGAGCCAATAGATTAGCTTTTGGGCGGGTCTAATAGTAAACCGGTTTCCGTTTCGGTCCTAGTGCTCAACCAAATCCATTTAATGGAGCGTAACATTGTTTTTGGACGGAAAAAAGTGCAGGGGACCAAAACTGCCTTTTGAAAAAGTGGGGGGGACATGTCCCACCCGTCCCCCCCCAAAATTACGTCCCAGACACAAAGGAATAATAGGAGCCTGTTTAGACCTCGTGCTACATCACAACACAGCATCGCTGTAAGTCGATGTTAAAAGGCACAGTAACATGTTGCAGTGACCATAAAGCTCCCAGTTTGCTGTCTTAAAGTTTACTCTTATAACATTAACAACATTTCACCCTGTGAATTATGAGAACAATGAGTTTTGGGCTGCAGTGTCATTATCTTATGCCTTTCTGCTCTAGCCGACAGCACAGCTATAACTAGACTCCTGTAATCCCTTTGTGTTCTTTATTATTGTCAGTTGAAGTCATTATGATTATTGAGGTCTCCAAGAAAAATTAGGATTATTATCGAGTAATATTCATGACTTTTTTCACAGTAAATGCTAGCTGTTAACATTCACTTACATTGTGTATGCTAAGCTAAAGCTAACACTGCCAGAAATGGATGACTGAGCTGGTTACAAAAGATTTTCCCCTACTGATCTAACTCTGGGGAATACAACAAAAGACTACAGTTCATTTATGGGTGGAATATCCCTTCAAAGAAACTTTGTTCGTGTACTGAACAATTACTCGTGTTAGTTACTGTTTACAAACTATAAACTAATCAATACACTATATGTCTTATAATAGTAATACTTCAAAGTTAATGAGTAAAAGTTAGTTTGCCTGTTTCTGATGTTCTATAAGCTGTAAAATGTTTTATTTTTTCCAGTAATGATTTGAGGTGAATTTCTAATATTTTGAATGAGATTTTTTTTCTACATAAGATAACCTCTAATGTTTTTTACGTTTGAGGTGTTCGAAATAAAGAATCCTATGTTTTGTAAGAGAAGTTTGTTTTGATTTAATATAGTTGTTTAAGTCAATTTAGGAAAACTAAGATCATTCATTAAACTTTAAAATTATTTTATTACAATTTTAATTATTATTAAACAGTCTACAAGTATGAACAAAAAATGGTACAACACTGTACTGTAAGAAACATTTTTTTACAGTAGTGGTCCTATACCTCATTTTAATTTATACAGTACCATAACTGTTATTTTACGGTTCTATTACTGTTATTTTACAGTATGGTCTCAGTTACTGTAAAACTAAAATACAGTACCAGTATTGCCAGTAAGGTACTGTAAAAAACCCAATGAAATGTCTAACAGTGTACTGCTTGTTTCCTTATGATGTCAGAGGCAGACTGCTTGTTTCTTTATGTCAGGAGACTGCTTGTTTCTTTATGATGTCAGAAGGAGACTGCTTGTTCATTTATGATGTCAGAAAGATACTGCTTGTTTCTTTATGATGTCAGAGGCAGACTGCTTGTTTCTTTATGTCAGGAGACTGCTTGTTTCTTTATGATGTCAGAAGGAGACTGCTTGTTCATTTATGATGTCAGAAAGATACTGCTTGTTTCTACATGATATCAGAAGGAGACTGCTTGTTTCTACATGCTATCAGAAGGAAACTGCTTGTTTCTTTATGATGTCAGAAAGATACTGCTTGTTTCTTTATGATGTCAGAGGCAGACTGCTTGTTTCTTTATGATGTCAGGAGACTGCTTTTTTCTTTATGATGTCAGAAGGAGACTGCTTGATTCAATAAATGAACATTTTAACGTTTTAATGAACCTTTAAACGTTTTTAAAAATGAACATTTAAACGTTTTAATGAAGAATTTAACGTTTTATTGAATATTTAAACATTTAATGAACATTTTAACGTTTTTAAAAATGAAAATTTAAACATTTTAATCAAGATTTTAACGTTTTAATGAACATTTTAATGTTTTAATGAAGATTTTAACGTTTTTATGAAAATTTAAACGTTTTAATTATGATTTTAATGTTTTTAAAAAACGAACATTTAAACGTTTTAATGAAGATTTATATTCAACAAGCATATATATATATATTCTGATATGTATCAGACATATATATCTTGTTTCTAAATGATATCAGGAGGAGACTGCTTGTTTCTTTATGATGTCAGAGGCAGACTGCTTGTTTCTTTATGATGTCAGGAGACTGCTTGTTTCTTTATGATGTCAGAAGGAGACTGCTTGTTTCAATAAATGGACCTTTTAACGTTTTAATGAACCTTTAAACGTTTTTAAAAATGAACATTTAAACGTTTTAAGGAAGAATTTAACATTTTATTGAATATTTAAACATTTAATGAACATTTTAACGTTTTTAAAAATGAAAATTTAAACGTTTTAATGAAGATTTTAACATTTTAATGAACATTTTAACGTTTTAATCAAGATTTTCACGTTTTAATGAACATTTAAACGTTTTAATGACTATTGTAACATTTATGAACATTTTAACGTTTTTAAAAATGAACATTTTAACGTTTTAATGAAGATTTTAACGTTTTAATGAACATTTAAATGTTTAAATGAACATTTTAACGTTTTCATGAACATTTAAACGTTTTAATGAACATTTTAACGTTTTTAAAAATGAAGGTTTTAACGTTTTTATGAAGATTTTAATATTATAATGAACATTTTAACGTTTTAAAAATGAACATTTTAACGTTTTAATGAACATTTAAACATTTTAATGAACATTTTAACGTTTTAAAAATGAAGATTTAAACGTTTTAATGAAGATTGTAACATTTTTAAAAATGAACATTTAAACGTTTTAATGAAGAATTTATTGTTTTAATGAACATTTTAACGTTTTAATGAACATTTTAATGTTTTAATGAAGATTTGAACATTTTAATGAAAATTTAAACGTTTTAATGATGATTTTAATGTTTTTTAAAAACGAACATTTAAACGTTTTAATGAAGATTTATATTCAACAAGCATATATATATTCTGATATATATCAGACATATATATCTTGTTTCTACATGATATCAGGAGGGGACTGCTTGTTTCTTTATGATGTCAGAAAGATACTGCTTGTTTCCTTATGATGTCAGAGGCAGACTGCTTGTTTCTTTATGTCAGGAGACTGCTTGTTTCTTTATGATGTCAGAAGGAGACTGCTTGTTCATTTATGATGTCAGAAAGATACTGCTTGTTTCTTTATGATGTCAGAGGCAGACTGCTTGTTTCTTTATGTCAGGAGACTGCTTGTTTCTTTATGATGTCAGAAGGAGACTGCTTGTTCATTTATGATGTCAGAAAGATACTGCTTGTTTCTACATGATATCAGAAGGAGACTGCTTGTTTCTACATGCTATCAGAAGGAAACTGCTTGTTTCTTTATGATGTCAGAAAGATACTGCTTGTTTCTTTATGATGTCAGAGGCAGACTGCTTGTTTCCTTATGATGTCAGGAGACTGCTTTTTTCTTTATGATGTCAGAAGGAGACTGCTTGATTCAATAAATGAACATTTTAACGTTTTAATGAACCTTTAAACGTTTTTAAAAATGAACATCTAAACGTTTTAAT